ATTTAACTTAGCAAATGGCTAACAGCCTTAGTATTTTTAAACTGATCCAGAACCGCACTTATTTCGTGCCGCTAGTTCCAGGACGTTTGAGATACATATTCTTATGTAAAAAAGTTAAGGGTTGTGTCCAAAGCATGACCGCGTTGTTGACGTAGAACTACGAGTTTGTTTTTGCTGCTCCATTCAATAAAATAAATATATTATAAGTTAATAGCAAAATAAATGGTTTAGAAACTTAACTACAAAATGAACAATGCACTAATACTTGTTTAGAAATTAGGCGATTGTTGAATAAATCCTAAATTAAGATTCAATTGTTGAAATAAGATAAATTAGAGCTATGACAAACAACTAAACGTATACTGTAATCTTATCCGCCGGTGGCACAACACAAGGGGAGGCATCAAGGTTTAACTGACACTAACCATACTGCTATGCTCTTTTAAAACCTTGAGCAATCGGCTCGTCTCCCTGTTTTCTCGATAGTCATAGCGAGCGAGCCCGTGATTGGTTGATTACGGCTAAAAAGTTTGATCAATATTTAACCATTGACAAACAACTATTTTATTTACACCAAACAAATCTTACATTCAATCTGAATCAAATGGTGTAATAAAAATGGAATTTCATTCATAAATGACCATGTTATAAGTGTTCAAAACCTGACACTATTTCGTCACACAATTTTTGTTGATTTGCACCCCAGTATAGTCCACAAAAAAACCACCAAAATCAAAAAGTAAAAATATAATTTTTCGCATTTCGTAATATTTGAACGGGACCCAAGAGGGAAACAATACTGTTGTCTCACTGAAAATTGGTCAATACCGCCGATATGTCCCAGGAATATGACTCTTTCTGTAAAAATGTGTGGTCCTGAGAATTATGAAAAATTAGAATTTCGCCAACTCCAAGTAACAATCAAGGTTTTATGAGGGTTCTGTAGACCATGATTTGTCTAAAATCAGTGTCAGTGTAGAATGCTATAAAACCACGATAAAACTTGCAATGTTGCTTGGGACATTCAATAGCAATCTATGTGACCATAACACGTATCGTTTGATGCTTTTTGCGCCCAATTGTATGCAGTGGCCGCCGAAAAACCTGTCATGGTCCGTCTTAACCCGTTGGTGGTACTTCTTACCTCGCCTGTAAAAAAATAGTATTTTTTAATCGGTCAAAAAATTGATATAAAAAAATAAATTATTTTACAATGTTTGACCATAGATAAATGAACGTTAATGCATATGTAGCATCTCTAATACCGTTTGTATGGTTATTTCGCTTAACAACCTATCCGGGGTATCATCCAAACCATTTGTGGAATAGTTCAATAATTTGGGTTATCGTTCGTTCATGGTATTTTCTTTATTAGGGATAGCAAATTGTGAAATGTGTTGCTCATTTTGAACTACTAAGGCTGTGAACCATTTGCCGAGTGAAATTTAACTCGTGGTTAAAAGTGATATTTCCAAAGTTATTTCTTATGTTCGAAAATCCCTGTGTTACCGATCGATCGGTTTTCGAGCAGAACTCAGCCACGGTTGTTAAAATTTAACTTCTTGTCCGTCAGAAATAACCATGCCCGGATAGCAGGGTTGTTCGATAACTTTCCATCTGTCAAATTTTAACCAAAAGTTAAAAAAAAAATCGGCAAATGGTTCAGATCCTATATGAATTGATTATGGTGGCAGAAAAAGTTGATTTGCTAGAAGCACTTCTTTTATTTTAAAGAAGAATGGATGTAAATATAAATAAATAAAAAAAAATACGGACACATGAAAACCGCTGCCATTGAGGCATGTTTTTGAGTATTTTTTTTTTAATTTCTCTTCATTAAGCAAAGAGTTTACACGGCGAATGAGAACGACCCAAATTTGAGTTTAGTTCACTCATAATCGCCAAAAGTGCAGGAACTCAGCGATGAGTAAAATTTGTCTCATGGTTTCCTGTGGAAAAGCTAAAAAATCTGCCGGAAAATGAGGAAATTGACGAAAATTTTATTCAGTCTCGGAGTAGTACCAATAGACTGAGTGAATCCAATCTTTACTTTTCTCAAATTCGGGAATTTTTCCCTGGAAAATCCTGGAAAAACCTGGGAAAACATGAGGCAAATTTACTCATCGCTGAGTTCCTGCTCTTTTGTCGATTATGAGTGAACTAAACTCAAATTTGGGTCGTTCTCATTCGCCGTGTATAGACTCACAGTAGGCATTTGATGTCAGGATAAGTTCATTTGTTTCCATCATGGCTTCACCGGAGCAAGCACATCGTGAGTCAATTCTGCACGTTCGAAACCCGAAATCCCGATCAATCCGCCCCTGGCAGTTTTCGATCAAATTCCTGGACAGGAATTTTATACCCCGGTTGACCGGAAGAGTGCCCCGGAAGAATGTAAAATTAAAAAGAAGTCGAAATTACCCAAAAAGTTCCTTGACAATCAATCTGCAGTTGTGGGCTGAAAAGCAAAACTTTTGTTACCTCTGGGACCATGAACCAGCAAATTTACCAGGGGAGTGCCTACGGAAGAGACTACTGCCTTTTGTGGAGCAGCATGGGGTGGATTGCCTATTCTGGCCGGACTTGGCAAGGTGGTACTACTCAAATTCCACCAAACAGTGGTACAGCGAAAATGGCGTCACAGTAGTTCCCAAGTAGATGAATCCGGTCAATACTCCGGAACTAAACCCAATTGAGGAATACTGGTCCATTGTGAAGCATATACTGAAAAAAAGGGTGGAACTGCAATTGAACTGAAGGATATAAGCCCATTACTATGATACTAATAGCGTGTAGCAGTAAAACTTCGCGTAATACCGCAATTCTAGATAGAGCTAGAATTAGGGCCTAACAGCTTTTGTAAACAATGACTTCAATCGATGATTTCTAGAAATTCAAGGCTCGCCCACTTTCCCTATCCGATGGTTATGTTGGTCTGCGTGGGCGTGCTTTGAGTTCTTGGAAATCATCGATAGAAGTCATTGTTTACGCCTTAATTCCAGCTCTATCTTGAATTGCTTTCGGTTAAACGAAAAAAAAAAAAACATCATTCACAACATTGCTACTTCAGGGAAAATAATTCGACGAAACTGACAGCCACAGCATGCTATTAACGCTGATAATCTGACACCAAATGCTAATTTTTCTCTGAATTGGAAATACATTCGTTAAAAAAGAATCACGCATTGATTTTTGTCAATGTCATTTATCAATTTGACATAAGTCACAGCAAAATGCAGTTGACTGCGATTTATCGCCACCTAAAGGTTGCTGCGACGTGATCCTCAAGTCAGAATATAAGAAAACACACTATCCTTCTCAAGCTCGTTCTCAAGGGCTATGGAAAAAAAAATCCAAGTGCGCTAACAGTTTTACCAGCCGGACAATGACTGCTTCGAATTTGATCATTAGATTGATCCTCATTCGGAACCTTTCTGAAATTCTGCCGCTTTTACATCACCGTATCATAATGGAATCACTCGCACCTGCCTCCATTAATTGAACAAAACAGACGTATCACATTAGAGGGCAATTTGCTCTGCCGGACACTCAAGTACGTTCGCCCCCTAGGGGGCGTACGGGTAAAACATCAGAAATCAACCATTACCACACCATCGGACGGTCAAATTAAACCATGTGCTAAAAATATCAACGACTAATTAACTTCTCCTCCTTGAGCATCCTAGTTCGGTTCAATTCCTCAAAACTGCAGCCCAACATTAACAACAACAACAACAACAACAACAACAACAACAGCCTAGCAACGGGTAAAGACAAAAGTGTCAGCTCGGGAAAAAGTGTCATTAAGCATCCCCCTTCAACGAAACTCCGACACCGACTCCGACACGACGGCGAGGAAGCGAGAGGTGCGATGCGTCCATTAATTCTGCTGTTTTTTCACAATTTAAATTTTAAATTACACCTCTTATGAGTCGTTTTATGTTCCGGGGTACGACACACCAGTTTAAAAGCATCAAGTCTAGCGCAGCAGTATCCCGGGTTCAAGTTTCCCTTTTTCCCCCTGTCAATTTTGGGGACGACGAAAAAAAAACAACTTCTAAGCTCTCGCATTCCCCTTAAGCAAACTCGTCGAATCACCACCACACGCGGAACATGAAGAGGAAATTTCCGAGGATGAAGCCGTCTAAGGGGATGAGGGAAACGGGAGGGAGTTAATAGCGCAAATTGAGGGAAAACTCGATGGCTTAGGAAAAAGAATAAGGATGTTTAAGCGTGTGCAAAGAGCTTCGTGGTCTCGTTCACTCTCCCATTCCAAAATTTCCAGTTTTTGTTGCGTAGGGCTGGGGGAGGGGGCAGAGAAGGTGGAGGAGGAGGAGCAGGAGCAGATATCTCACTCACACTCTTCCGGTCCTGTTGAAGCGAGCTGTTTTTCTTTTTTCCTAGGGGGATGAAGGAATCTGCACGTCGCTCGAAACAAGCGAGTAAAACACGTTAAGTGGCTATGAGCATCAAGTTGCATTGCATATTTGGTGATTAGAGCAGCGAGGGTGCGAGTGTATTGGTGAGGGTACAGTTGGGGCTCCGCCCCTTTGCGTGGCGCTCTCTCTGTTTCGCGGTGAGCATTTTTCTAATCACAGCTTTTGTGCTGTTCGCTTTGCTGCGATCGGTGGTTGGCTTGGATTCGGGTGGATAGGCGTGGCCTACCCGGACGGGTTCGCTCTCTCGGAGTACAATGAACGGCAACTGGCGAAGGCACGGATACTTACGTGAAATCGTTAGTAGTGTGCGTGCGATGTCAAGCTTATGTATCGGGGATTCCGCTTTGGTACGAAGGCTTCTAGCTCCATTTTTTGAGGCATGGTGGCGACGTCGACGGAAGAGAGTCTCTCCCTCTCCCAAGTGGTGGCGCATGTGTGTGCGTTCGTTGCGTCCCTCCCTGCGGTTCGTTGTGTGCCGTGCCGGATCCGGTTTCTCCGGTCGGGGTCTGGTTGTGTTGACGCTTGGAAAATGTTCGCTTTTTAGTGTACGTTTAACGTTGATCGATAGAACATGTGCGTTTTTGTCCTGAACGTCGTCGGCGGCGGCAGGTTTTGAGAGCTCTAATCTGATAAATGCTTTTATCTGTGCGCCCTCTATCTCGGTTTCGCTTGCTCGCTCTTGCTGTCTCTCCCCTCGACGGACGACCGACCGACCGACCCGTGGAACAGATTCTGGATGCGTACAGTGCGTCGCCGTAGCGCTGATCGTCGTCGTTTTCTTCGGTGCCGTTGTTGTTGTTAGAGTCTCGCGTCGTAGTGTTTGTTGTTATTGATGCATCGTCGTCGTCGTCGTCGTCGCCTACTTTGCGAGAAGATCGATCTGCCCTCGTCAAGTGGAAAATCACCGTCGCTTACTGAGTGAGTGCTTTGGGAAAAATTGCACCCCGATGAATGAAGCATAGTGATCCGTGATCCGTGAAAACATCAAACGCTAAGTTGAGGTTTTTGTTTTTTGAAAGGGCAGATTGAAGATCACGTCGAAACCGATGCGATGCGGCGGTGGCAGTGACGTTTGATGGATTAAGGTGAAGAATTACATTCTTGAGTGATTGAAAAAGTGCAGTGACAAAAGTGAAGATTGATAATCAATGAATTACTGAGCACAAGTGAGTGAAAACATTGGTGCAAAACGATCCAAGAGCGAAAATCTGACAGAAAGAAAGCAACTCGGAAGCGTTTGAGTGAGAGTGCGTTCGTGTGGGATTTGGTGGCAGGAACCCGAAGGTACGGTGCGGGTGTGACCTTTTGTTTTCGAGACCGCGTCCGTGAAAAGCAGTCAAAATCGTGCTCCAGTGGCATATTCCGGGCGAAAGCCCATTCGAGCTAACCAAGATTAATAGCCTATCGGATATCACCGGCGGAGGCGGCGGCATGACGGTACCGGTACAGCGAAACTCGATGGCCGTATTGCAGCCTCCACGGTCACGGTTCATGATCAACGATATCCTGGCCGGAAGCCAAAGCCATCATCACCACCACCAGGGTCATCAGGGCAACGGCGGTAGCGGTGGAGGAGGAGGAGGAGGTGGAGGTGGCGGAGCGGACAGCATCAACGGCAGCAGTAGCGAAGGTCGAACGCCGAGCCCTGGTCCGCGGGATCTGAGCATAGTACCGGGGGGACATCATCTGCATCATCCGGGAGCCGGTGGCTTGACGCCGGGAGCGCAACATCACCTAGGCCTGCATCACCACCATCACCATCATCACCATCACGGGGTGGACGACGATGTCAAGAGTGAAAGTGACAGCGACGACAGCGGTCCCCTGGACAGCTCCAGTGTGTGCAGTAACGGTAAGTGGCGCCGTGTTGTTTACGTTGGATTGGGAGTGTACTAGAAGCGGGACCGTGAGTAATTAGTGAGCTGCTGGAACGCATTACGACAGTTGAAACGAAACGGTTGAGGCATCGGAAAAGTCTACCTGACAGATGGGAAATTTATTTGAATAAAATCGACGTCAGTAAGACCCCTATGTTGAGATTTGTCGCCTAACTGTTAAACTTCTTGCCGCTTTGCTTTCGCCCTCATTGTGCTTGGGTCTTTGAGCTCGGCAATGAGAATTACTGCATCAACCAGATCGACATTTTTTGAACTGTCAAAATCGAACGAATTTTGTTGCATATTGACTACGAGAGAGTAACGCATTGATTTGGTATGTTTATCAATTTGAAATCAATCGCAGCAGTCTTAAGGTGACTACGATTTGTCTTCGCTAGAACAAGAACTAGACCTATTCGATGGTAAACAGTCTTGGCGCTAGTGTACCGTTTGACATTCAATTGCTTGCTTTATTACTAGCCATACCAACTGGTAGAGGAAAATATCCTCAACTAGATGGTTATAGTAAATTTGCATGAGCGAGCTTTTATTCGTGAGAAATCGACGGATAAAGTCATTGTTTACAAAAGCAGTGATGAAGAGTTATCAGAGACTGAATAACCCAATGTAAGGCCGTTCGCAATGCTGTTGTATTTTATAAGGACTGTTTCAATTTGAAACTAGAACAGAAACGCACCTCTCGCAATGCTGAGTTGCAGTTTCATTATTCGAGCACTATTTTGCACCAGATTTGCAACTGCTCGACTATTCTGTTTTATTTCTGAGCGATTTTGAAACACGAATGGAACTCTGTTTCAAATTTCTTTGGATGTGTTGAAGATGTTTCGAAGAGCTCCACAAATAAAAAACGGAGAACTTCATAGAGAACAGTAAAGTTTATGGAACTTGATGATTACAAACATGTTTTAGAACTGTGCGTTGCGCTGATCGTGTTGCAGTTTAATTTTTGACAGTTTCAAATTATAAAATTGACGAGTAGTTTAAAACAATTTTGAAACTCAGCATTGCGAACGGCCTAACTCACTGAGTTCATTCCTGCGGTCGGAGAGTCGATCAATTGACCACTTCATTCGAGCACTTAAAATGACGTTTACTACCACTCGAACTTTGAAATAAAACATTATTTTGAGATTTTTTCTTCTAGAACCTCGAGAGAAGTAGCCAACATTTGTGCGTTTTATAAAAAAATATAAATTAGTAGGTCTAGTTTTGTGAAATCGCTGGTAGAAAGTCACGCCAAAACTGCTTGACAAAGTGGTCAATTAACCATTTCATGCGAGCGGAATGAATATGACGTTTACTACCTACCACTTCGCTATAATATTTTCAGATTTTTCTTCTAGAACCACGAGAAAAGTTGCCAATAGTGGTGCGTTTTATCATGAAATAGTAATTTGTTTGTCTAGTTTTTGGAATTCGCTAGTAGAAAGTCACTCTCAAACTGCTTGACGAAGTGGTCCATTAATCATATTTTCGAGCAGTTTTGGGACGACCTTCTAGCAGAGACTCAAAGAAATTAAGGCCATAAATTTCAGATTTTTCAAGCTTCGTATAAATAAGATCCTTATTTTTCGAGAATCTAGTTGCAAAAATTGGGTTCTTTAATTTTGAAAAATTTATCGGATTTTAAATCTGGAGTGATTTGAGATTTGGGCGTAATTGCTTTTGTAAACAAACACGTAAATCGCCGATTTCTCGCGAACAAAAGTTCAATCTCGTAAAACAAAACTATACCAAACGATAGAGAAATCATTCTTCTGATAGTGTTTTTAAATCGGTGATAAGCGTGTTTGTTTACAAATGCAATTACGCTCAAATCTCAAATCACTCCGGATATATCATCTGAAAGAGCTTCGTTTTCGAGCACAACGATTTTTTTTTGAACCCATAGATTTTTATCAGGAGTTTTAATTCAAGATTTAAAGCAAAATAATAAATTCACTGTTTAACACTGGGGGGTGCTCAGATGGTGATTTTTGCTAATGTTATTGCACTTATTTAAAATAGTTTCAGTGTACCACAATTAACCACTTCATTCGAGCAGTTAAAATGACGTTTACTACCACTCGAACTTTGAAGTAAAACATATTTTTGAGATTTTTCTTCTAGAACCTCGAGAAAAATAGCCAACATTTGTGCGTTTCATGAAAAAATAGAACTTAGTTGGTCCAGTTTTGTGAAATCGCTGGATGAAAGTCACGCCAAAACTGCTTGACAAAGTGGTCAATTGGTTTGTTTATGGGTATTGAGGTGGGAAAAACGGAACCGAAATCCAAAATTTCATCAATTTTGGTGCACAGGAACTATTTTTGCGATTACATTAGGAAAGATCACCTTCTTAGCGCCCCTTGGTGGTATTTTGTATGGAAGCGAGCTGTCAACTAATAGATTGAGTATTAAAAATTAATTATTTAAATCATGATTTAAAAATCGAGTTGAATGTCAATGGGATCGATCAAAATATCTTTTTGCTCAGAAAACGAAGCTCGATCAGATGATACGGAAAAACCGATATGTTTTTTTCGAAAATCAACAGCCCCATCGATGAAATGTTGGATTTCGGTTTATTGTTTACTGCAGTTTACGAATATGCATTCACCTCAATACCCTAAAAGAACCCAATTCTCCAAATATTGATCCACAGCAAAGTTCGAGTGGTTGAAAACGTCATTTTAAACTGCTCGAATGATGTGATTAATTCCGAATTCCTTCACCATGTGGCGGTAGTGTGCCATTTGTCACTTTTAGTTGCTGCTGCCGATGACAAACTTGTCCAGGTGGGCAAGTCTTGATGAATTCCTCATCATGATTTTTTTTTTAATTTTCCGACAAACTTTTAAAAAGAGATTAGTCAAATCGTGAGGGGGCTGAGAGGGGGGTTTTAGAATTTGTGACAATACGTGTAATAGGTATGGGAAAAGCGTGTCACAGGGGGCAAGGGAGGTGGGTAAAATATCGATTAATCTGTGGTTGTCATATTTGAAGCACCCCTACGGTTATGGCTGGCAAATTTTGATAGTAATAGACATGTTCAGAGCCGTTCTATTGTGTGTTTAAAATGTGTTATTTTGAGAATTTAAAATCGAATTTAATTCTTTTATTTTATTTCACTCAACGAAGGGAACGTTAATCATATAATCGAACAATTTTGGGACGAGCTTCTTTCAGAGATTTAAAGAAAAGGAGGCAGTAAATTTAAGATTTGTTGGGACCTTTTTTTTCTCGAGTTTCTAGTAGGAGAAATAATCGCATAATATTGCTTCCTGGTAAAGCTCGAGTGGTAGGAAACGTAATTTTAAACTGCTCGAATGATGTGGTCCACTGGAAAGACTGTAAATTGGATGTCCACAATCTGAAACTGGTTTCAGTTATTTTACGCTTATCTGTCAAAATCAAGCATTATTCTGCTGCCGAACGTCAAGTGTAGTTATTCGAATCTGAATTTAGAATTTGAAAAAAGAATCTTCTGCATCTCGGGCCCTCCTACCTGTTTTCAATCAAAATGATAGTGAATTTATCATTTTGATGCACACTCAAATTATATCACCGACTTCGGTTAAACTCCATAGAACTTTCAAAAGCTGAACATTCGGTAAAGCTTTGACCTTCATTCTGACAGCTATTTTCTGCGATAAGAACTAAGCTTATAGAATGATGCATTTCTGTTGATTGTAAAGGAGTCTTTAATGCTTTGATGGTTTCATATCGATATTTCAACTGTTCGATAAAATATTAACGATGTCGGTGAAATATTCCAACTGCTTGCAGAATTTCGAACAACTTTGCCAACCTCAAAACCCCTGCCTTTCGATTCCCGAAAACAGTAGGCCACTTCACTTGCAACTGCCGCCCGTCAATCGATTGACAAACGACAAAAGTCAGTCGATGAAGGCTTTCGTACTGTTGACACGCCGAGGGGCGTGAGAAAGCAATTAGCGCGCGTCCGATCAAGACGTCACATTCGATTCCGGTTTTAATCTTACACGGCCCGAGGTTAATGGCTTTCGTTCTCTAATCAGCTTAAAAATAAAACGAATGACTTTTCTTTAAATTTGTATCTCACCGCTCGCTCGTTGACACTTTAATCCACAGCGCACCCTTCTCTTCACACACATTTTTCTCAACTAGGTTTTTTTTCTCTCTCCATCCAGTCATCCATCCATCCAACCTGATCGAGTAACTGTCAATTTTGGGGTGCTGCTGCTCTGCTTCCCCTTTCCACGCTTCTTCGTAGTCCATCGGCGCAGCTTGCTGTGCCGGTCAATTTTCACCTCTCGAGCGCGTTAAAATCTCATAAATAACCTATAAAACGTTTAAAATTCACTGAAATAAAGCAGTTGGCCGGTCGGATAGTTACCTCCACCATCGACAGAAGAAAGAAAAAATCGCTGCTGTTGAAAAATTAATTAAAAGCCAGACTTTTCTGGCCAAGATAACATTGTCTTGATGAAATTAATTGGACCAACCAAGGCAAGGTGCCGGTAGAGGGCGAACGAACGGAACGGTTCAAAATTTAGCGATTTAGAGCTATCTGGTTTATGACTTTTCGGTCCCCGCGCGCAGTGCTCACTTCGATGCGTGCGGAAACACATAAATATTGTATAAATAGAAACCCCCCCACCCCCGTTCGCTGCCGAGGGGTCCGCTGCAGCGGCGGCGAAGGAAAATCAGAATTAGTTATCTTTAACTTTGTTTCATATTTTTCTACCACTATTATCATTATTATTAGTTCGACCGAATGGGGGGAGAGCTTCTGCTGCTGCTGCTACGGGCGGTTACTAAAAACGCATTAAAAGTTTAATTACAAATAAAAAGTGTAAAAGCGTTTGACTGCGACTAACGCTGGGTGCGGAAATGTGTTAAAAGAAAATTGACTAATTATACTACCCTAGTAGGTCGTTAGGCGCGCTTGGCTTGGATCGGGTTTGGGCGAGCACCGGTACCTCCGACTCCT